TGATGGTGATGATGATGACGATGATGATCCCATGATGATGATGAACCCCATGACGATGGTGATGATGACGGCGACGATGATGATGACGACGGCGACGAATCTTGCGGATGAGTCTGATAATGGATCTTGCGGATGAGTCTGATAATGGATCTTGCTGATAATGAATCTTGCGGATGAGTCTGATAATGGATCTTGCGGATGAGTCTGATAATGGATCTTGCTGATAATGGATCTTGCGGATGAGTCTGATAATGGATCTTGCTGATAATGAATCTTGCGGATGAGTCTGATAATGGATCTTGCGGAAGAGTCTGATAATGAATTTGGCGGATGAGCTGAATGATCTTGCGGATGACATAAAACATATATCTTGCGGATGATGACATATATGAACAAAAGACATGACGAAATACAGACGCATGACGAGACGCAGACATGGTGCATATTGGTGCATTAGGAAATGCATCAAAATGGCGTAAAGAGCATGACGAGACGTAGACCAGACACGACGAGACACACAAGGGAAGGCATGTTGCTGCCTGGCATAAGGTGAGATGATGATGAATCTTGCGGATGAGTTTGATAATGATCTTGCGGATGATTCTTGCGGATGACATAGAACATATATCTTGCGGATAATTCTTGCGGATGACATAGAACATACACTATATTGCCAAAAGTATTTGCTCACCCATCCAAATTATTGGAATCAGGTGTTCCAATCACTTCCATGGCCACAGGTGTATAAATTCAAGCACCTAGGCATGCAGACTGTTTTTACAAACATTTGTGAAAGAATGGGTCGCTCTCAGGAGCTCAGTGAATTCCAGCGTGGAACTGTGATAGGATGCCACCTGTGCAACAAATCCAGTCGTGAAATTTCCTCGCTCCTAAATATTCCACAGTCAACTGTCAGCTGTATTATAAGAAAATGGAAGTGTTTGGGAACGACAGCAACTCAGCCACGAAGTGGTAGGCCACGTAAACTGACGGAGCGGGGTCAGCGGATGCTGACGCGCATAGTGCGAAGAGGTCGCCAACTTTCTGCAGAGTCAATCACTACAGACCTCCAAACTTCATGTGGCCTTCAGATTAGCTCAAGAACAGTGCGCAGAGAGCTTCATGGAATGGGTTTCCATGGTCGAGCAGCTGCATCCAAGCCATACATCACCAAGTGCAATGCAAAGCGTCGGATGCGGTGGTGTAAAGCACGCCGCCACTGGACTCTAGAGCAGTGGAGACGCGTTCTCTGGAGTGACGAATCGCGCTTCTCCATCTGGCAATCTGATGGACGGGTCTGGGTTTGGCGGTTGCCAGGAGAACGGTACTTGTCTGACTGCATTGTGCCAAGTGTAAAGTTTGGTGGAGGGGGGATTATGGTGTGAGGTTGTTTTTCAGGAGCTGGGCTTGGCCCCTTAGTTCCAGTGAAAGGAACTCTGAATGCTTCAGCATACCAAGACATTTTGGACAATTCCATGCTCCCAACTTTGTGGGAACAGTTTGGAGCTGGCCCCTTCCTCTTCCAACATGACTGTGCACCAGTGCACAAAGCAAGGTCCATAAAGACATGGATGACAGAGTCTGGTGTGGATGAACTTGACTGGCCTGCACAGAGTCCTGACCTCAACCCGATAGAACACCTTTGGGATGAATTAGAGCGGAGACTGAGAGCCAGGCCTTCTCGTCCAACATCAGTGTGCGACCTCACAAATGCGCTTCTGGAAGAATGGTCAAAAATTCCCATAAACACACTCCTAAACCTTGTGGACAGCCTTCCCAGAAGAGTTGAAGCTGTTCTAGCTGCAAAGGGTGGACCGACGTCATATTGAACCCTATGGATTAGGAACGGGATGTCACTTAAGCTCATATGTGAGTCAAGGCAGGTGAGCAAATACTTTTGGCAATATAGTGTATATCTTGCGGATGATTCTTGCGGATGACATAGAACATATATCATGCGGATGATTCTTGCGGATGACATAAAACATATATCTTGCGGATGATGACATATATGAACAAAAGACATGACGAAATACAGACGCATGACGAGACGCAGACATGGTGCATATTGGTGCATTAGGAAATGCATCAAAATGGCGTAAAGAGCATGACGAGACGTAGACCAGACACGACGAGACACACAAGGGAAGGCATGATGCTGCCTGACATAAAGGTGAGATTGCACGTATAAGCCAGAATTAAGACAGCATAAGTATAGCAGGGAGACAGCATGAAGCTGCACAAAGCAAGAATGTTGATAACTGATGAGTAGGAAGAGGAGAAGACGAGCTAGGATGGGCATGGTTAGGTCAGGTAATGATGAGAAAGAGTTCGAACCACCACCAGTATTTGTGTTAGAGTTACCTAGAGGCAGAGTGTGCTGCGCTGCGAGAATTGATGAGATCTGGGCGGAAGATGAGGTATAGCTAAGACCATCGGCCCAGTACTGAGGGAAGCCTCAGAAACCCCGTGAGTAGCTGACTACGTAGCTGCTCCAATCGGAACGGATGCCCAGGATACACCCTGAGGGAAGCCGCATGAATCTGAAGTATCCTGAGGTGATGAAGAACCATCGAGTGACGTGGGGTAACCCTCGGGTGTAATGAAGAGCTAGAATGCCTGAACATGATGCGCTAGATGATGAAATGTTAGAACTGCTGCCGGATGATGCTCTGGTGAGGGCATAAGAAACGGGAGAGCGACCTAATAAAGTTTACTACTGCAAATATCGTGGTGGGCGGATATGCGATCTTCCCAACGGCCCCTCGACGGCAGGCTATGGAACGGGGTAGCCTCAGGGCAGATGATGGGTGTAGAATAAAGGCCGTGGACCACGAACACCTAACCTGAAGACCCCCCAAAACCTAAGGATGAACCAGCACCCGTGAATGGAGCATGCAGAAGATTGATAATATCGTCTATATTTGTATATTTATTTATTTATTTATTTTTTTTTTTTTAATTATCTAATTATTAATTTATTATTTTATTATTTTTATTATTTTTATATTATTATGATTATTATTGATTATTATTATTATTATAATTATATATATTATTAGACGACAGATGATGAGGAGACAAGACGATAATCAGAAAATAATAAGGGGTAGTAAGATGACGGGCTGATCAATGATTAAAGCTGAGACGTCACCTGCTGATGCGACTTCAGGGGGGGGAGGAAAAGAGAGACTAAATTAACAAGTTTCCCTAGAATAATTAGCTAGGCTAGTGAAATATAGCATGCATGGAAATAAGTGTATGCCTAAATAAGGGGCAGACAAGCATGAAGCGAATCTAATGATAGAAGATATGGAAGAAAACATGGTTGGATACATCTTACCTAGGGCTGGCCCGCGGGCGTTCCTTAATGTGAATGGGAGGGGGGGGGGGGGGGGGGGGGGGGGTCCGTCTCAGCAGGCAGCGGCAGGGATGACGTGGCAGTGCGGGGATTTTCCAGGTTCGGAGCGTGCGGACAGCGTCGAAACGGATTGAGTTAGAGAGTCCAGAGGAGTGGAGGGAGGCCGGGAGCTGCCAAAAAGCTGAAGGACCGGACGTGGGTGCCGCCACAAATCGGGAAGCTGAAGAAAGTCCAAAGCCCGCATCGATACGATGAGAGGAGCGGGCGCATCTGGAGCCCTCTGCGCTGGCGGGGGGAGCGGAGGACTTGCATGTCTTGCGGCCAGGTATCGGAGCAGATTGAAGAGCTGAGGGCGGGGGAGATGAACCACGAGGAGGCAGGAGGGAGGCCAGCCGAGACAGACGAGCAGAGTCCATGCCGGAGCCCGGCAACACGCCCTCGGAGCGCAATGCGGAAGAAGGAGATGCGAGAGCAGCCAAACGGGAGCCTCTGTGAGCAGGGAGAATTGAATTGTCGTCTGAATCGAAGTCCGACATTGCGATTGCAGGATAACGGCTGGGATGAAGATTTGGAGCGTTTATAAAGTGAGAGCAGGACGCTGATTGGGCTTGTGGTGGAGTAGTTCGAAGCTGAATGGCTCGCTTCAGAGACGGATTAGCTTCTGATTGGATGGAGGTAAGTCAGAGTTTCTTCAATTGAACTTCCGCTAGAGCTTCATATGACAGTCAAAATATTATCTGATTAAATAACATATTTACCACCCTTACTGGAATGGGCAATAAATATATTAAAGTTGCACAACCGTAATTTATATACTTTATTAACTAATCCACAAAGCCAAGGATGTAGACCACTTATTTTACAGATGTAAACTGTGATCCAGTCTTGATATGGCTTACGCTTTAAACTGACTGTTATTTATAAAGAAAATGTTTAAGTCAATTATAAAGGCGAAATATTAAACTGGTCCAAGGGACCTTCTGTCAGAGTATAACATCATAAGAAACTAATATAGCTCTATACAATATAACTGGAACAAAAAAAGTAAAAAAAGGTATTAAAATCTGTAAATTTGCTCTTAATTTAACAGAAAACTAATATATTCTGCCAAAGGAAGAAGGATTCGGGCCTTTAAAACTGGATATTTAAACACTATGCAGCTGAAATAAGATAATATAGTTATTTTTTTATTTATTCAAACATAAATCGTGTTATTCCATCTGACTAAAACAAGGTAATATACATTTATTTCAATTATAAAATTATTTATATTCAAAATTTTGGAGTTTATAATCTCAGTATAGGGGGCCCTAACAGGGGCCAGTTCAAGACAAGTATCTGGATGTGCCATTTAAAAAAAAAAGATTCCTATGATATTTAGTATGAAATATGCCTTATTAATAAATCAGTAAAGGGGGTTAGTCTTGTGTCAGTCCGGGGGGGGGGGTTGCTGGGTGTTAGAGGCCAACGGTTGATGAGAAACACTTTGCATCTGCTAAATCGAAAATACTCTTCCCTGTTTAGCTGCAGCTGTGAAGCAGCTACAGGGTGAGACTAGTTTAAAATGTCGGGGAACCGCAACAGGACACAACCCTGGTGCTTCAGCCTTATTTCATGAGACGGCTTAAAATCTACTCACCAGTTCGCCTGCATCCATTCCAGAGCCTGAGTTTCATCGAAACGTCGCTCAAAATCAAAACTGCTCAGCTCGCTTCCGTTCATTTTCTCCCGCAGTGGAAGTTTCTGGATGGTTTCCTACAGGATACAGAATAATAAGTTTAACAGATAATAGAGACGTAACTGGAAGCTACAGGACGGTTTGATGCAGCTGCATTCAGCCTCTGAGCATGTCCTGAGCAGCAGAGAGAAGATGCGGTGTAGTTCCGCTGTCACCTTTGCCAAAGATACAAAGCTAACGAAAGGGATATCAGACGTTTCCGGTTATGACTTTCACAATAAAACGCCCTGGATGAATCTGAAAGAGCGCTTTGTTCTGGATGGAAATCAAAAGAAGAAACAAAGAAGGATATTCAATACTAGCGAATGTATTATATTACGGAAGAGGATTATGGCCACTGAAAAAAAAATAAAAAAAAAGGTTAACAGATTTTTAAATATTATTTCAGTTTAATATGGGGGAAAAAAGTCAGAATCCTGACTTTAATCTCAGAATTCTGACTTTTTCCACAGAATTCTGACTTTAATCTCAGAATTCTGACTTTAATCTCAGAATTCTGAGTTTTTTTCTCAGAATTCTGACTTTAATCTCAGAATTCTGACTTTAATCCCAGAATTTGGACTTTTTTCTCAGACTTCGGACTGTAATCTCAAAATTCTTAATTTAATCTCAGAATTCTGACTTTTTTTCCCACAGAATTCTGACTTTAATCTCAGAATTCAGACTTTTTCTCTGAATTCAGACCTTTTCTCTGAATTCTGACTGAATTCTGACAGCTAAAAAGCATGTTAGCATCAAGCTGTAGCCATGTCTATTTTAGAGACTAACTCTCTTGTTTAATTACCTTCTGCTCTTCCATCAATGAAATAGCATCACCAGGGACCCCTCGGGCACGTAAAAAGTTGCTTAATTTCGTAATTTTTCACCACTGTGTTACTGGCCCTACCAAACAACTCACATCTTTGTTAGTGAAGCTGAGTGCTCCCACATCTCTTCCTTCATGGTGCCCATTAAGATCCAAAATTCTGAGATTAAAGTCAGAATTCTGAGATTAAGTCAGAATTCTGATTTTTTTCTCATATTATACTGAAATAAAATTTTAAAATCAGTAAACCTTTTTTTTTTCAGCGGCCCTAATCGTCTTCCGAAATTATATACTGAAGGAGAAAATTATACAAGTGCATTTTTATTTGGTGCTGTTCAATCTAAAAAAAAAATCACAGTAGGCTACGTTGTCTTCCTGTGGCAATCTAATCTCAGTATGTATACAGCTATTCTTTGAGGTGTCAGTGGTTTTAGAGAACCTCGATAAACAAGGGAAAGGATGTAGAGAAGTTTAAGACGGTGTTAACAACTTTTCTGCCATTTAAGATCTTCCAAAAGACTGTTCAATCCATCGCCAAAAAATGGAAGCAGTATGACACAACTGCAAGCCAATCAGAGCATGACTGCCACTTAAACTGAAAGGCCAAGCAAAGAGAATATTAGTCAAAGAAGCAGCCAAAAGGCCCACACCTACAGAGATCAAAAGCTCTGCTGAAAGAGCATTCTATGTCTCTTATTTTTATCTAAAAGCAAGATGAGATTCCATTTGCAGTTAACTGTGGAAGAAGACATGTTTAAGAGAGTATTTAGAGAGGACCAGAATAATTTACATGGTTGGAGTTTAAAATTGCTTGCTAGACTGAGTACACCTTCCCTACAGTGAAACATGGTGGAAAGGCTATCATGCTGCGGATGTTTTATTTTGAAAGGGACAGCCTGGTAGAGGCTGTATGACGGGACTTGGGATTGGAAACTCGACAGCACAATAACCTCAAACAATAGAACTGTTGTCCTTTGAAAATCAAATGGCCCAGACAAATGTACGAGCTGACACCTAATAAAAATATAATAGCAAAAGTAAAAATTTGATGTTCACGCGTCAGTCCAGTTTGAAAGAACTTGAGCAATAAAAAAAAAAATAGCGATTGCTGATTTTATTTTGAATGATTAATGGATCAAATCCTATACCAAATCGGGTTATGTCTTTTGTCTGTGACACAGCCTGTTTAATTGTTCAGAAGAGGAAGTAGAAGTTATTGCTCCAGAAAACATACAGAAGGAATTAAATTATGAGTAATTAAATTAATCAATTATCTCTGCTTGTTTTAAGCTCAAAGCCATACACATATTTTTTCTCTATGTTTGCATTTTTTTCCTCCCGTAATTTCACATTTTTCTTCTACAATCCTGTCACAATTTTCTTGTAGTATTGTATTTTTGTTGTGGGAAGATAAAGTCCGTTTTCACCACCCAACCCCTTCAATCCCAAATAATATAAGTAGGTTTTAAAATGTGTGATTTTTTTAATGGTTTTAAGTAGTAAATGGTTCTATGTCTTTCCAATAGACAGATTAAACAATATTTTAAACTATTAAATAACCATTATGTAACCTTGTCTTAATTACCTGCTTATAGGTTTTAGAATTTGCTATTTTGTCTCTCAACAATTTAAACGTTTCTCTACTTCCCTCTCTTTCATGTGGGCTGATTATATCAACCTTCAACTTTGAGATCTGCAAAATAAAAACCCCAGCTTTACTCATCTTCTCATTTTATCTATATTGCCTACTTTTATTGCGCAATCCTCTTATCTGTCCTTAAACTGAACTCATTCCAGACATGCCCTTTGATTCTGCGCAGAAGGGCACTTAGAAAACAACTGGAGCAGCTGCAGTTACATAATGTCAGTTCAATCTGTGTATCTGAATCATCTGAAGGAGTGGTTTGCTGGAGTAAGGTGGGTCGACCTGTTTGCAAAGATTAGATTCCACTTTCAATTCCTCGAAGTGTGACTAACATTTGTAAGGCGGAAACAAAATTATAGGTTCCTCAAATTCCAGCCTAATTTCCATGAACTGTCAGGATGTAAAATATATTCATTATGGGCAAATATGCACTTTTTTATGATATTTGATTAATAAAAAAATCCTCTTATCCGACATAATCCCCTGCTTAAGTTATGTATTATGTTATCAGTTATCATTATTGGAGTTTTTCTTGTGTTTACACAATCAGGGTTTGGTTTTTAAACATACAGATTTCAGAAATCAGACTCTTTGCAGACCAGTCACTGCCAAAAACAATGTTTAGGAGGCCTGTGTAAGGACTTTTTGTTCAGTAGAAATATCTTTTTTTTTTTAGTTGATGATTTTCTAATGGAAATAAACGCCCCCAAAACCCTAAAGCATTTAGGATTATTTGTAAATGACATGCATGTTAACATTAGAAATCTAATTCTGCTTTAGTTTTCTTTAAGCTTTTGAAATGGCTGATAATGGTAGTATTTGTATTTTATTTTGAATTCTTGGGTTAATCCCCTGGAATATTACAGAACTCGGTGACCTTAAAAAACTGCTTGCAGATGGGACGTTTAAAAGCTTTCCCAAATGCTTTTTCTACTTTTGTTTAGTATTAAGCCCCCCTGACTACCCAGGGAATTATTAGTCTGACAGCTTAAAATCAGCTTATAAAATATTAAGTCATTCAAGCCTGATCTAAAGACAGTTAAACACCATAAATTAGAAGTAAGAAAATCTTTGCTAGACCAATGAAATTAATTATGTATTTATCGACTCTTTTATCGACTTTTTCAAAATAGATGCTACTTGTTGAATGTTTGACATATAAATGAGCAGTTTGATAAGAACATTCAAACCAGGTGGAACATATATATATATTTAAGAGTGTAGAAAACAGAGAATTAAATATAAACAACAGAAACACAGAAAGTATTTTAGCTGCTGGACAATGTAGAACTGTGCAGTCTTATTATCAGACAACAGGTGGCAGTGATGAGCAATATTTACTGAGGTGTTCTTGTTGGAATGGTTAGTTTCATTTGATTGCCAATGCCAACATCAAGACTTTATATAATAACCTTATATAAATAGTAATTTTAATCAAACCATAAAGATATTTTTCAAGTTAAGTTCATAGTCTACATTTCAAATTATCTTCAACTCCTTTCTCTGTCTGCCTTTTTTCTGAAAAAGTGCAAAAAAAATGGAATGTGATTATAATGTTGCAGTGGAAATAAACCTAAATATTCAATTTATTAAAATATTTCAAAGCATTTAACATTCTTCCTAAGATGAAGGTGCCTAAGATGCCAGATGCCTGGCAAAAAAGTCACAACTCTGCCTCCTGCCACAGGGAAAGACCGTTATATTCTGCCATAATCCTACGTATTATTTAAGTGAGCTTTCTTTTCTTTTTTTGTATTTATATGATTCAGGAACAGAGACAAGAGGTGTCAAATACAGATTCCTTATAATAAGGTTATCGTTTTATGCTGCTTAGCCTATTAAAAACTATTTCATCTGATTAATAAAGAGGCATCCCTGGGGAATGAAACAGAAAATAAAATAAAGAAATCCAAAAGTGGAGGAACTTAAAATACGTTTAGAAAGTTTTTTAAAGTTTTACTTTTTCTCATAGCTGGATGTGTAAAATATTTACTTAGAAGAGGGTTTATTTTTCCTGTTTTTGTGCATATTTTAATTTACTTTCAAATATGTTTTACTTTTCTTTAAATCTGTTTTTTTTTCTTTTTCACAGCAAAGTCCTGAAAAAAAAGGCATATTTAACCCCACCTCCAGCTACAGCTGCCACCAGGGCAATTTCTTTGTTTCAGAACAAATTAATTCATAAGCATGTGTCAAAAAATCAGAATTACGAATCTGGATTCTATTTAAATTCTTCAATAGATTTTGTTCGATGGTTCACTAAAGGCTGTCGTTTTTTGCCTCTGCACCATTTCTGCCAGACTTTTTCCTTTCACTCAACTTTCTATACCTCAATATCTGTAAGCCACAATCCTCTTAATTACAAGGAAATATTTCAATATTCATAAGCTTAGATATCAGCCTAGATATCAGCTTTACTTAATGAAATAAGATACAAGGGAGGAACTGATGTGTAGGGGGCCGTGCAACTACCTCAGTTTAATCACAGAAAGGAAATACAGAACAATTCTACATGGTAACTGACCCAGCTTTCCAGCAGTAACAGGGGGTTGTGTTTCTACAGGAGCCTGGTAGCATTAAACAGAAACTGTGTGTGAGCTGATTTGTGCTTGAATGTGAGGTGATCTGTTTACACCAAGTGATTTATCTGTGCGCTCTGGATAATTTCTAAGCAAAGGAAGTTAGTTTAGAGTAAGGACTGATATTTTGGAAGTAGCCATGGAGAAAATATGTCACGTGAACATATGTTAACTTTGTAATGTCCTAGTTTAGTATTAGTTTCTTAGATTGTTTTGAACACAGTACATTTTTCAATGTTAAAGTTACATTTAACATCAATCCGAGTGGATCTGCTCCCACTATGAATTATTGTTAAATTAACTCTCTAAATATTGTATATCTTACTCCAGTTGTTGTAATATCTCTAAAAGAGTCAATGCACTTCGACACTGCATATTTAACTCTGTGAAATTTACTGTGAATGAAGATTAAGATATACATTTGCAGGGATCCTGACTGAAACGAATTTTCCTTAATTTATGGGAACTTTAAAGTATTTTCTCATTTCGATGCATTTATTACTTTATCTCTTTATCTCACTTTTTTAATAAAAAACACATTAAAGCTTTAGAAAATTAATATGTTAGCCCTAACTACCTTTCCCTTTTGCTTTCTTGTTTTCCCAAGTAGCAAGAAAACTGATTCCGTTTTATTTTACAGTTTTTTTTTTCTTTATTTTTGTTCCATCGTCCTGTAGAGAGGACAAAGCTCCATTACACAACTTACTAGAGTTTTGCTGTTGTCAGCCTTCATCCCATTGATCCCTTTGCCTTCTCTCACTTCCACTTTGTGCCCCCCCCCCCCGAAAAAAAACTCTTCCATCTATAATCCCCTTCTCCTCTGCAGTGGAATAATCACAGATCTCAGTGGAGGTGAGGACGACAAAGAGGATTTGGAGATGAATCACAGATAAAGTGATGGGCAGCAGGTGAAGGGGAACAAAGTTAACAAAAGCAACACGCCCTACTCTAGGTAAAAAAACAATAAACAAAGGAGATCTACAATAATGAGCTGAGAAACAACAAATACAAACTCACAAGTAACCACAGTGTTATGTGAGAGTTGGGGAAATACACATGCATTGACAATAGAATAAATATAGATCAGCATTATACAAAGGCTGCATTCAAATTCAAAGGGTGCTATGGAATTTTGAGCAAACACAAGGGTGGGGGTACAATGGTCTGGGACGGCTCTAAGATGTGATAATATGTCCGTTTTTGACAGGTTGTTTGGTTGTTTGCTTATATCGCATTAATTTGAAGCAATCCGAACTGTACAGCACAGGATCCCATTATTGTTTTCACGCTCAGCAATTGTCTGCTCTCTACAGAATTCAGGTTCAGGATTTAATAGATTCGGCATCTTTGGAAGAAGGTTCTTCGATGGCGAACAAGATGCCGAGGCACATGAAACAGGAGCCCACCTGCTTCACGGGTCTGTCACTTAAACTCACTGAGAGGCCGGCGTGCTTGAGTAGATTCTTGTTCTGGTCCAGGTTGAGGAAAGAAAAGAACAGAAAGAGGAGAAAGCGAAAGAGTAGAGAGCAGGTGTGGGTTTTTTTTGTTTTGTTTTTTTTTTTGCTGGTGGGAGAATAACGGAGCAGATCTACGGAGAGAAGTGTTAAGAATCAAATGTCCTAAACAAGCAGATGTTGTTTAAGAGCTGGAGGCAGAAGGAGAGTCCAGAGTCAGAAAAGAGATTTTTTTTCTTCACTTTTTTCTCTTTTTCCGTTTTTTATGTATGTTGCAGTTCATTATTTTGGTTGTTTCTTTAGAGCAGGTCCATTTGGAGATTTTGGATGGAGCCTGAGGCAGATGGTAGAAAGTACATGGCCCGTAAAGGGAAGGCTCAGATGATGCCGTACTGAGCCAGCTCGTGCAGCTCCAGGTGATTGAAGGCCTCCCAGGGGCAGATGACGGTGATATCTGTGGGTGGGTTGGAAACATAAAGCCATTTAGACACATTTTTAATAAATGAAATCAAGATTTTAAACTTTACTGTGAACTCACCCGTGCCCAAGCCCTCCATGCCGGGGATATCATCTCCAAAGCTGAAAGAGAGAAAACACAGTTTAGACACTGATATCTTTATTTTTTTCAATATCTAAAGAAAAAAATTGAGCTTTAGTTGAAGCATACCCCTGAATTCCTTTCTTTGGAGGCTTGCTCTTGAACTGACGGGTCTGCCTCTGCTTGAACTTGGGTGGACCTTTGCGTGGAGTGGCAGGGCCTCCGGTTACACGGGTAGCTGACTTGATTTCAGCTTTAGGTGGCTCAAGATTCATTTTGAGCAGTTAGGAAGGTTGTATGTAGGTAAGTGGTTGGATTTCGTAAAGTTAGGTCGTTAAAAATCTGCAAAAAAAAAAAGAAAAACTAATTCTTTAACAATTAGGAAGAATTGTCACTAACACTTCTGTCTGCCTCACAATCTTAACTAATTTGATGCTAGATTTAATGTCACCTCTGTCTGACATTATCAGCTTTAATCCGCTTACAGATCTGACGTTTCCCAGGGGTCTGCACTGCAGCCTGTCCATCAAAGATGACCCAATTTCTTATAATCCCTGGCTCAAGATTAGAAGTTCTAGCCTTCTCCATTTCAAGCTGGCGCTATTCATGTAATCTTGTTAAAACAAGGACAACTGGGGGGAAATTGCAGAGCTGTGCATTAAGGGTCTAAAGAACAATCAGAGTATCCCGGGTTACGATAACCGACCTTCTGCGTGTTTATACTCCTAATTTTGTTTGGGTTGGACTGCAATAATAAGCTACAGAATCCAATGCATTAGAAAATTAGAAACTTTACTAGTTCATTTGTCTATGAAATCCAAAAAATAATAACTTAATATTTTATGGTAAATATCTTAAAATCTTCAGCTGAAATTTAAAAGACACATGCATTTTCTGTTTTTGGACATTTAGTGTAAACCTGGGAGCAGTGATTTTTTTTTCTTCACAAAAATAAAATTTCAAAGTAATCATATGCCAAGCAGCTAAATTAAGAAATCAAGTGTAAACAAATGATATTTGCTCCACTAGTTTGCAAAAAAACGGTAATACAGTTATTACATTTTAAAGTATATTCTAAAGAAGTGTTTTTAAAACTGTAATCAATATTTAATGAAACATCATTATAAAATCTAATGATTCAGTTTGATAAAAATTTCCAATACTCCTCCAGTTCACAAAAAATACCATCTAAAGACACTTTGAAATGAATGAAAATTCAGTTAATATCAAACCTTAAGCAAGCGTAATTAAACTAGTTCGATAATATTCAAAAATACAGTTTCAAGTTAAACTCTCAGCTTAAGCTTAAATCCACCTGGTTTATTTATTAATTTGAAGTCTTATTTCATATAGAAATAAATGTGGCTTTCATTTATCTACAAAACATCCCCAGTTTTTTAGCAACCAGCGTGATTTCTAATGTACTCACCAGCTGATTTGCTGCAACTCAGCCAGACGAGATGATGTAAGTGCAGCACTTCTCAGTCTAGCAGACGAGTGGACTTCTATGCTAGGCTTGCTGTGAGGGCCAGCGTGGACCTCAGGGCCTCTTATACCATCAGTTCTGCAGGAGATTAGGAAGGCGCCGCCTCCATATTTGTGACAACAGATAGATTCACTTGGTCACAATGAAGTTTTCAGGGTTTAGATATATTTTTATTGGAGTTAAGTTTTGATTGTTATTTTTATTTTCACAGATTGCTCGAATTTAAATCTGTAACAATATTCATAGGGCTTCTACTGCTTTTTACTTGAAATATTATTTGACCCGTTTGATTATAATCTGCCTAAATCTGCTAATCTTTGGAAAAATCTATTCTAAAGATAGAGTCTTTATTTAAACTGGTATTTCTATAATACATTTATGAATTTTAAGCTTATAAATGCAGGTCCTACTTTTTTGGTGTATTCCTTAATTATTATTATTATTTTTTTTTTATTATGTGCAATTTTACTCCAAATCCAGAAATCATTTCCCCAAAGGTCTAGAAATTTCGTGTCAACACCAGGAGGCTTATTAAACCACTGGTTGATGAGGGTGAGTATGCAGAACAAAATGTCTCAAACCAGATTATGCTTCTGCAGATTATCCATGCAGCAGGAAGGTTCCTGAAGCAGCCAGACTCTTTCCTGGCTCCTTGTCATGCAATTCTCAGCCATCTGTTGACTGTGCTGGTAAAATGTAACAGTCCCCAAATTGAATTTGTGGATTGTTGCATTTCATTGCAATTTTAAAGCCAGTAATTCTTTATAATATTGTTCTTCCATTCTTCCACTTGCCAGTTTTTGCACTAATATATATTAAGGAATTCAGTTGGAAAAAGAAGTCAAATGTTGGGGATAGATAAGACATTGACACCTATTTTTCATAAAGAAAAACATAATTTATTGCTGCTGCTTTCAAACGTTATTAAGGTTGTGCCCATATAGGATTGTGGAGCCAATCTACTGTAGTAGTTTCTTCACCCTGACCTAGAAATTAATAAAACTACCACTCATATAAAACATTTCTACCATAAAATTAATTAGAGGAATAAGTTATTGGTAAACATTAGAACTTTACTTCATATTTTTGTAAACATGCTGTTTTATAGTATGAATCCTTTAAATGATGAGAAATCTTATAGTCGACATCTTGTGCTGCACTGTATTCCCCAGCAGTGCTATAAACTCAATACAATTGCAGAGCTGTACTCAAAGCTGCCATATTGTTCAGGCACCACAAATATTTTAAGTTCACTCAACTGGTTACCCAGTTATTGATTATTTTGACAAGATTAACTCTTAGTATATGAGTAGAACTGACCCCCAAACTCATTCCTTTCAAGAGTGGATTGAATTTACGTCTGACGTAATAATGACGTGCCAGTTCATTGGATAGGTTCATATCAACATGGCAATTAACCTAACAAACCAATATAAAAAAAATACAAAAAATTGGATATCCCAAATGAATGGTGGATGAACTACAGGTGCTGGTCATAAAATTAGAATATCATGAAAAAGTAGATTGATTTCAGTAATTCCATTTAAAAAGTGAAACTTGTATATTATATTCATACATTACATACAAACTCATATATTTCAGATGTTTATTTTGTTTAATTTTGATGATTACAAATGACAACAAATGAAAATCTCAAATTCATCATATCAGAAAATTAGAATATTGTGAAAAGGTTCAAAATTGATGGCCCCTGGTGCCACACTCTAATCAGCTAATTAACTCAAACCACCTGCAAAAGCCTTTAAATGGTCTTTCAGTCTAGTTCTATAGGCTACACAATCATGGGGACGACTGCTGACTTGACAGTTGTCCAAAAGACGACCATCGACACCTTGCACAAGGAGGGCAAGACACAAAAGGTCATCGCTAAAGAGGCTGGCTGTTCACAGAGCTCAGTGTCCAAGCACATTAATAGAGAGGCGAAGGGAAGGAAAAGATGTGGTCGAAAAAAGTGTACAAGCAAGAGAGATAACCGCACCCTGGAGAGGATTGTGAAACAAAACCCATTCAAAAATGTGGGGGAGATTCACAAAGAGTGGACTGCAGCTGGAGTGAGTGCTTCAAGAACCACCACACACAGACGTATGAAAGACATGGGTTTCTGCTGTCGCATTCCTTGTGTCAAGCCACTCTTGAACCACAGACAGCGTCAGAAGCGTCTTGCCTGGGCTAAAGAGAAACAGGACTGGACTGCTGGTGAGTGGTCCAAAGTCATGTTCTCTGATGAAAGTAAATTTTGCATTTCCTTTGGAAATCAAGGTCCCAGAGTCTGGAGGAAAAGAAGAGAGGCACTTCATCCACGTTGCTTGAAGTCCAGTGTAAAGTTTCCACAGTCAGTGATGGTTTGGGGTGCCATGTCATCTGCTGGTGTTGGTCCATTGTGTTTTCTGAGGTCCAGGGTCAACGCAGCCACATACCAGGAAGTTTTAGAGCACTTCATGCTTCCTGCAGCTGACCAACTTTTTGGAGATGCAGATTTCATTTTCCAACAGGACTTGGCACCTGCACACAGTGCCAAAGCTACCAGTACCTGGTTGAAGGACCATGGTATCCCTGTTCTTAATTGGCCAGCAAACTCTCCTGACCTTAACCCCATAGAAAATCTATGGGGTATTGTGAAGAAGAAGATGCAATACACCAGACCCAACAATTCAGAAGAGCTAAAAGCCACTATTAGAGCAACCTGGGCTATCATAACACCTGAGCAGTGCCACAGACTGATCGACTCCATGCCACGCCGCATTGCTGCAGTAATACAGGCCAAAGGAGGCCCAACTAAATACTGAGTGCTGTACATGCTCATACTTTTCATGTTCATACTTTTCAGTTGGCCAACATTTCTATAAATCCTTTGTTTTTATTGGTCTTCAGTAATATTCTAATTTTCTGATATGATGAATTTGAGATTTTCATTTGTTGTCATTTGTAATCATCAAAATTAAACAAAATAAACATCTGAAATATATGAGTTTGTATGTAATGTATGAATATAATATACAAGTTTCACTTTTTAAATGGAATTACTGAAATCAATCTACTTTTTCATGATATTCTAATTTTATGACCAGCACCTGTATATGGAACCCTGAATGATTAATAATTAAATAAATAAATAATTATGAAATAAATACAATTTTGATAACTAACAAACAAATATATAATATGGTCATGAAATAAAAACAAGGTAATGTTATTATGAAATATATATTTTAATTCTTTAATATATTTGTGTGTTATTTATCAAAATGGTATTTATTTCATAAAGTTTTTAATTTATTTTATTATGAATCATTCGGGGTTCCGTAGAACTAGTCTATGATCGATTGTGGTGAATGTAATCTGTTACAATTTGACATCGTACGACAAGAAGTGGCCCTAACACTCTTCCGTATATTTAAGTTTTTAAAACAGCAAAGGATTGTAATTAATTAATAATTGGGCCTGACAATATTTACACTGTTTTTCAGCAGGTTTTTGCTCTGCAGGACATGGAGCACAAACAAATATCATTACATTGATTTACACTAAACAGCAATAATACATAAATGGTAGGAAAAGAAGCATCATTAAGAGATGTCAACATCTCAGTGGTTGGAATAGTAGCCATCCAAAAGCAAGCGGGCATAGGACTTCTTGGGATGTATTTGTGTGCATAGTCCTTATATGCTATGGAATATCAGTCCATGCTGTAGTGGGCATGAAACAGCAGTTTTTGAATGATGATGGCACGAGTACCTTCAAGAGTTCCTTCCACATACCTTCCACACACATTGATCAATCATCTCCTAAACTCGGATTTGACACCAGAGCAAGAAGTGCTGCAGAGGTTTTGGTATGATCAACATAAATTCTATGGTACTTGTGAACAAAACAACTCTGCTCAGAGTCTAACTCTAACCCTCATTTGCACATAAGCTTATGGCTAATATGACCAGAACGGGGCCTGGGGTTTCCTAATCGAGATATCCTTCCCATGTCTGTTCCTTGCAATCCTGTCATTCTCTCCAGACCAGATCCTGTTAAACAGGTCTAAAAACAAAATTAAACTCTGATAGTCTAGGCCACAATGGGATTAAACTCAACTTTCACTGAGAGTGCAGAAAGTCGATGGTATCTAAATAAGTTAGCAAAGTTAGTAACATACATTAATATAAGACCATTGAGTCCTGAGTCAGGCTTATGTTACCTGCTACTGGCCACAATTTAATAATGTCAAGTTTTTTTCTCATTTTTAATTAAACGTTGCTGTTGCTTCTGTTGAATTCTTGGACAATCTAAGTTATAGAGTTCAGCTCTTCATATATTTGTTCTTAAGGGTTAAATTTTAACTCAGCTGAGATTAAAAGAGAGCACCCACCCCACCCCCACAACAAATCAACTTTTTACCTAAGGGAAAAAAAAACACACCAGTAAAACTTAAAAGTATATGGAAGCAATGTTACGTATTTGAATGGAAGTGTGATAATGCAGATTTAGATCTGCTAATTAACACCCGATGCCATGACGCAAGGTGATGCTGAAGCTTTGGCACCAGTCATAATCTGTCCCGACTTTATCTTACACCGTCAGAGTCATCGGGTTCAGACTTCTGTGTATTATCAGTAAAATCCAACCCATAAACCACATCAGTGCTGCAGGGTGGAGCTGCAGCACTGAGGCCTGTATATAAAACACTGTACAACTGGATTGTATCATCAGGCTGAGTCAGAGCTGAAAATAAGAGTCACTCTCACCTTGATGAACTTGACCTGTTGGACTTCAGCCTTTTTGCTGCATTTTCCCAACTACAGACTGACAGACCTCAATAAAAAGATAAGTCTGCAGCTGTGTGAATTATCAATTTAAATGTTTTAATAAATCAGGAAATATCACTTCATGTACGACTCACTCTAGTGGTGATTGACAAACCTTTCTCCTGTATCGATTTCTTTTTAGGTAAAAGAGAAACTGTTTAAAATACGGTTAACCAAAAATGAAGACAGGACTACGGTGGCCCTGACAGGACATAATTTTCTGATGAATGTTGGATACTACAGTCAAACCCTTGGTCGATCTCTTATTTGTTTGTATTAAAGGAAACTTAAAATACATTTTAAATCTTTTGAATTTTTGCTGTTTTCTCCAGAACGATTAGAATCAAACTGCTTCCACATTGATTAGGTTTCAGCTCTGGGGTCATTAGTTTGATTAAGCTAATATCTATGATGTGTTTTCCATCCATGTTTGATGTTCCGGGAGGGTGGAAATTATTGGCATCATTTTGATAAAGGATGAAGACTGATTTTCACATTAAATCCTCACTAAATTAGAAATCCTGGAGGACGATCGGCCGAATTATTATTTGGGAAAATAGAAGAAACTTGAACTGCAGCCCAACGCCACAGCAGTGTCCACCAATACTTTATAAATGGATGTGGACTGTTGCCGTTTTATCCTTCAGCAGAATTCCTCTATAGGTCAGAAGCAAAAATAATTTTCTCGCTAATTATCCAAATTTGCTACTTTTTTTTAATGTTTGAATAATATTGATTTTTGTTTTGTCTTACCATTAGTTTTGTTTTGCTATTCAAACTATTTTCCTCTGTACTTAAAAATCACCAACACTGATCAAATTAAATCCTGGAAATCAAAGTAATAAATAGAATAAACTTTATTTTAAAATGGTCTTTGAGAAACCTTATACATAAATTACAATAAAACAAAACATCACACATACAATAAATCAACTTGTGGTTTAAAGCAGCAGGACCCAAAACTGACTGGAGTGTAAAGATCAGATATCTTTCCACAGTGATAATTTTACACAATTTAATAGATGCTACATTTAATTTCACGTAAAAGTAACAAGTCAAAGTTTGGTTCCGGATTTTTCATCAGGAACCAAAATTCAAATCTACATTGTTTCAAATCAGCGACCTCTGGATTTTATTTTTCAGGAAGCAGATTTTATTTTTCTACTCTCATTTTCTTGTCAAACTCTGTGGCTGCTGAAAAGACACCAGAAATAAATATTCAGCTTACAAGAAGTCTTTAAAATGTGTCCCAAAAAACTATTCTGACCACATGAGGTAGGTGGGAGCCAATAACTTATTAGTTCACAGTAAAGTTTTTTCTCTATACATAAAGAAGAAGTGGGCATAACAGAAGTTATCATACAGTGTAGAAAGTCCTTCATCAGTAAATCATTATGTCTTTTTTAGCAGTCTGATTTCCATTTTAAGATATGTTTTAAGGTTCTCATCAAGAACGTTCTCCTCTATGGCAGCGAGTGCTCTGTCTCCTCCGTCATGATAATACGCCAGGAGTTGCTCGGCATGTTCGATCCAAACGCAGTTATGGCAGCCGCTCATGCAACAATGGGTGGGAGCAGGTGGGGGTCCCTGTTTGGGGGACCAGGAAGAGGAGGAGCTGCGGTTTTTCTCTAAGATAGGGCTCTCAGTTTCAGGAGGGGTGGACTGAGATCCGGTTGACAGAGAGCGGATGATCCCACTGTGAAGACGTCTCCATGAATGTTGAGGACAGAGACTGAAGTGATGAGCTCTCATGTGAAGCAAAGAGAGGAGGAAGAGCTAAAAAACACAACATTGTTTTTGTCACTGGTCAGTTTTTTTTAAACCAAGAAAAAAGAAAGATCACAAAGAAATGCATTTTTTAATCAGCTCGTTTATAATGCCCTGTTTCTTGACTTGAAGAAAATGGAAACATTTAAACCAATTTTACATGTTATAATGAAAAGGAATTAACTAACATTCAAAATGATGTCTAATTATTTAAACTGAACTAAAAATCAGTTTTAAAAGTTTGGTAAAACTGAAGTTTTATTTAAACTGAAGTGAGTGGACTAACACCCAACCTAACGTCAAAGTTTATATAGAGAAGTTAAGTTTAAAAATGCACAATAACCTTAGCGCTGATATAAAAAAACAACACTTTTTTAAAACAGTTTGTGCTTGGACAGATTATATCTAATATAGGTCTAAATGTTAATGAACAAATACTGACAACTCATTTTCTATGTATTTTGGCCGATCATCTAAAACCTCTTTTAAGCAATTAGTGCATAAATTACAACATTAACTATTAGATTATTAATAAGACCACACACACACACATATATATATATATATATATATATATATATATATATATATATATATATATATATATATATATATATATATATATATATATATATATATATTTGCAAATCAATTCATCTGTAGATTATTTTTTCAATTAATCTAATAATGTTTGAATTGCCAAAGGTTCCTTTAAGAAAACTTTTTGCAAAATTAAACTAGATTAAATTAAAACTTTGCTCTTGATAGAGCATATTGGCAGACGAAAAAGATTTTTATTTTAAAAGCAAAATGTTTAAATTTTTTCTACAATTTTGGTATAATTACGGCTATAAGTGGATGGCTAAAGGCATGTTTTAGTTTATATTCCAGTTAACGATTAATTGATTACTAAATTAGTTAACACATTTTACTTAATCACAATTAATCTGATTGTTTCAGCCCTTTTACACACACACACACACACACACACATATATATATATATATATATATATATATATATATATATATATATATATATATATATATATATATATATATATATATATATATATATATTCTTTGTAGACTGCTAAGTTTTTTTCTGATAGCTAATAACGACATAAAGGTCACATCCGGCTGATGATGTGCGGTAAATAATAGGAGATATTTATTTGAAACATCAGTGACACAACATAAACGTAGCGGCTGTTAGCTTAGCATCCAACCTTGTGTAAAGAGACCGACGACCTCCCGGTTTTTAAACGGGAGCAGAACATCTTTCCGGTTGGAGCGGGTCACTCCGTTACGTTTCCTTTTGTCCTCATTTCCTTTAAACTGCCGCCTTTATCAATGAATCTTGCTGTTCGGGTGAAACACAAAAGATTCAAGACCTTTGAAACTCATTGGTGTCTATTCTGCTTTGAACTTTCACCTCTGTTAGGTTCTTGTAAACAAAAACTATGATTGGTCAGTGTCAAATAATGTAGCCAATCAAATAGGAGCTCTACATACTTTGAACCAATGGGAAAGCGAATAAATCGGAAGAGGCTGGACATTAAGGACGGCACTTCTGATATTCTGCCACTAGATGGTATCGTTTCTACGCCTTAATTCATGTAAATGTCAACTGCTTATCTCAATGATAGTCAAATTCTTAGTTTTGGTCAGGAATCAGAACAGTGGCTTTATATTCATTTACTTTCATATATTGGAGCTGTGTTTCTAATGTTTATCAGAAAAGTGTGATCATATGCTGAAGCAAATCTGTTTTTTTTCCGGTTTCATTAAAAGATCTTTGAAAAACAAACCTTATTGTGTGGGCGCAGTTCTCCTGAAATGCTTATTTCCATGTTAAACATCTGATTCTTGTCTTTAATAAAACAAATGCAACAACACAAAAGAGGATTTGCCATTTAAAGTGCAAAAAAATCTCTTCTGTTGTTTCTTCTGACTTGATTCTAAGTGATGGCAAAAACAGAACTTTATAAAGACAGAAAAAAAAGATTCTGTTGTGGGAATTCTTTATGGATTTCACATGGAAGCAGAAAGAAAATCTACTGAAATTAGTAACATTCTAAAACCATAAATTTAAGATATATTTCGATTGCCTAAAGAGTCAAAGTTGCTCTGTTCTGCTTTCTTGCTAATTCAAATTTTTTTAGGTGTCAACATATACTTTTTTTAAATTAATGTTTGATAAATAAGATGATACTGTAACAGCATCAATTGTTTGTAACAACTAAAATCTACACATTTTGGAGATGAGTTGCTTTTTTATTTACTTTTGCTCTTTCACTATGTGAAACAGTTGAAAACAGACCCTTTTCTCACTGACTGATAGTATGTCTAAGGTTAGGTGAGACATAGCATGAAACCAGTTATAGCCAGTTATAGATACTGGCTATAACTGGCCATTCTATATTTAAAAGCCAACCACAGTTTGGAAATGTACTCCAGGACACAGATCTGAGTTATTAGAGACAGGTCCTGATGTGGTGTTGTAAAGAATAAAGTGCTTGATCATAATGACTCTTGTTAAGTTTGTGTCAAACAAGGAAAAAGTTTGACAGCATCATCCTGACTGCAAAGGTTGGGGCTGACAGAATATCTTAGTGGAGGAGGACTTGGTTTATTTTAATTATTCGATAATATATTTAGAAAAGAGCATAATGTCAAAGTATTGAGTAAGAAATTTGAAAGAGAAGTGTTTCAGCAGTTAGATACCCTCCTAACAATGACATCAGAGAAACAATCACATGTGGTGTTCCCCAAGGCTACATTTTACAGCCCTTCCTATTCAATATCTGTCTCAGATGGAAACCTTTTCAAATATACAGTGGTAACGGGAAAAAACAATCCCCCCTGTAAAACGTCAATTAGGAAAATAAGAAAATATGATTCTCATTAATATAGCTTAGAAATAAAAAAGAGCAGAAAAAATCCTAAAAGGTGTTAAAGAAAGAAAGATAGTCTTATTTAAAGTTGGACTGGGATGAAAAGAAATATAATGAGACAGAAAGCTGCAGGCCACATGATTGTTCCGGCTCTGTTACAGGAAAAAAAAAAAGCTTAACCCAGTTTAAAGTTATGTAAGGAAAGCAGAAACCTGAGGCCTTTATCATTCACTTATGTTCGGATGAAATGTATCTGAAAGAGCAAACCGGTTTGGTGAGCAAGGAGCTTCCTCTGAGCTTCCTCTGATGTGGTTATTTTCTCCATGAATGATGCCAACCCTGTCAAGTGTTTGAGTCAGTCAGTGAAACATGTCGAGGAGGGTGAGTGTTTGTGTTGAGAGCCGACTTCCCCACAGACCACAGAATTTGTGTCCATGGCGATGAGCTGTGTTATCTCCCCTGTGATTTCCTCCAGAGGAGAGGCACGCAGAAGGCCTTCATTTCTTAGAGCTGAACATCAATGAGGAGAAACAATCAAATTTCAAAGGCTAGCTGCGCAAACACAAGCTTAAACAAATGCAGTTAATACATTGGGCTTTTGAAACAGTCTCTCCAATATTCGGAATAAAAGCAAGCAGCTGAAGGTTCATATTTCACATATGAAACCAACAATAGACTTCACTCTATTTATAAAGACACCATTAAAGATACAGAATAGGCAGACATTTGATCCTAATGCAGATTTATTGATTGATGGAAACTCAAACATACCTCACAGATGACACAGCATACACAGAAAACACACTTTTTGCATTCTATAGATTTTAATTTTATTTTTTAAAATACACTAATTTTATTCTACATTAATTTAAGGTTTTTCAGTGGTGGGTCTAGACAAAATTTACCTGGGGGTCCAGGTAGCGGCCAACATTTTTTTCACAAGATGCATAGAACAAAAGAATAATAAATACAAAAAGAAGAAAGAAAAAACTCGGGCAACAGAAATGACCAACTTTCCACAATAATTAACAGTAATATTTTACAGTAAGTTGTTGTGATTGAGTTCCCCTTTAATATCCCAATGAATCCCTGTAAAAAATACAGTCTCATTGAACTTCACAGCATTTAATTCTTATTGTACAGTAAACAAAAAAAAAAAAAAAACCTGTTATGTCACAACTAGCTCTGTGATATCAAAGCATTTAATAATATTATTTCAGTGAAATACTATAGATAAACGCACAATAAACACTATTTGAACAAAAGGCGCAGTTTCCCTGAAGGTAGGCAGCCTGCATAACTGTTATCAGCACTGCACTAATTACTAATGTTATTTTAATGTGATAATATTTACATTAATTTTAAATGAACATTTATCTGATGTCACAGTTTGTATTTTGTTAGCAAGTACCCAACATTGTTGACTCTTTTCTTACAAAATTTGCTAATAGTATAGTTAGCAATAGGCTATAGTGAGTGTTATGCTGTATATTCAAGTAAAGTTACTGAGCTTGATTCTCCTCCCATGTGTCTTTCACTACCTAAACACTGGATTTCCCCGTCTCAGCTGAAGCAAATACTTTTAATAGGGCTTGGGCATCATAACTTGGTTAAAAATGGCTACGAAAAGGTATATTGAATATTTATTATAGAAGTCCCAACAGGTTTGGATTATAAGTCTATTGGGGTTTTATATAGGAAAAGGCAACATTGAACACATTGATAAATGCTGCCTGCAATACATCAGTCTATCTAAATCTTAAACTATCTATTTTCGTACAACGCTGTAACGTTTGGACATGTTGTAATGTTTGAGTTGAGAGGAGTGCCTGACCCCTTTAGACATCCCTTCATTACTCACTCTCCAGTGATCTCTTATCTTGCCATGTAGGCCTCATTCCAGATACTGTTACCTCTTACTAGTATTCTGACATAGCTGATTGAATAGTTGTATGACAAGATGATTAATGATTGTTGAAGTGCCGGTTTCTGCACAGTTCCTCTGCATTTTAAGATGTTTTTGTTACTAGAAAGTTAAATTTATTGAAGTTCTTAACATTCAATGTATGCAGATTTTTTTTTTTTCATAAATATGCCATTGGACTAAAACTGACTTTACCTCAGAGTTGTTTATTGGTGGTGGATGGGGGTAAATATCCAATGAGAATAAAGTCCCAAGCTAATGTATTCCTTTGTGCGCCAGCACGCTGGCACAGTTTGTAGCATTGTTGCTTGACAGCAAGAAGGGTCTTTCCTCATAGAGTTTACAGGTTCCACTGTGCATGCTTTGGTTCTCTTTGCTTGCTCCAGCTTCCTCCAACAGTACAAAAAAACCTGACTGTCAGGATAATTGGGGGTCTCTAAATTTTCATTGTTTGTGTGTTTGTGTGTCTCTGTGTTGCCCTGCGATGGACTGGCGACCAGTCCAGGGTGTCCCCCACCTTTTGCCCATACAGTGCTAAATATAAGCACCAGCCACAACGGATGAAGTGGGAGAAAATTTGTATTACTGTCACTATTTACATTGTAAATTACTGTCAACTTGTACATTACTTTCAAAATGCACACTGTAAAAGTACAGAGCCTTATTGCAATGAAAGCAAAATGCTGTAATTTCCCATTAATGTATTGTAATATCACAATAACTAGTTTGCTATTGAAGTTGTAACATTACAGCTTTTACAACAATGAATTGTAATATCACAGATAAGAAATTACTCTAAATACAGTATGTTTCACAGTATAGAGCTCTCATCCTTACTGTGAAAGTCATGCAAAACTTAGCCAATCATAGTAAAATCACGGTGAAACTTTTTGCATTGAATATTCAATATATTAAGTTAGCCATAAAGCGAAGGTTGCGGAACCCCATCTAACAAATTAAAACTGTTATCCTATCCTAAAATGTTTGAAACTCAAAACTGACTGTAACTTTTAAAGGGGAATTATTAAATTGGTCCAATGGACCAACCAGTTTTCATCTCTTCTGACAATATATATCATTACACTGTAAAACAACTATTCTGATACTCGTAAAATAATCTGCTAATGGAATTAATATTTTTACTCTTACAATACGATAATATGATTTTATGCACTTGAAATAATTAATTAAAATTTTTTAATATCATTTGGTGGGGCAAAAGTGGTTTCCCTTACAATCGAAGGCTTATCGGTTCAAGTCCTTTAATTGTGTTTACCACTTTTACCACTGGTGCCTGAGTTCTGTCAGTGAGCCCCAGGGCAGCTGTGGCTACAATGTAGCTTGCCACCATCAGTGTGTGCGTGAATAGGTAAGTAACTGAGTGTGTAAAGCGCTTTGGTCAACTCTCCTGACTTGAAAAAGCGCTATAGGAGTACAGAACATTTGCCATTTTGCACATAAATTACTTAATTCCATCAGAAAGTTGTCTGAGGAAAAATATACAAACTTACAAAATACAAAAACAGGCCTAATTATATTAAATGTTTGCAGTGTATGTGTTCAGAAAAGAGGCCATCACAGGGGACAGGACCAGTTCTACAGGGACACTTGTTTGC